TGTAACACTTAAGTCATTTGTACAGAATTTGGTCAGATTACTCTCATGTGTGAGATCCATCTTGAATAAAAAAATTGCCTAAAAACACCACACCCCTCTGCCCATGTGTGTGTTTTGGCAGGCTTATGTATCAAACCTGCCTGTACACACAGGACGTTTGATATTATAATTATAACACTACCTAAATATTTAACTAAATAATATTTCTATAATAAAATGAAGATTTCATGCAATTAAAGAGATAGAGTAGCAAAATAAATCCTCTCTCGCAACTCGAGAGATTAGACTAGTAGAATATTTAACATTCTCACATTTTGAGATGCAAAAGGAATTAGTACACACATTTGAGTAATTAAATGTTCATTGAGGAATTAAATATAAGAATGTAAATGTAAAATTCATACATTAAATTAAATATTTCTTACTAACATAAAGAATATATAATAATTTTTATCTCTTCTTATTTTGTTTACTATGAAGTAATATAATAGATGTAATTTTGTGGCTGAAAGGAAATTGTTCTTAATTTTGATTTCTTTTGTCAAAATGGTATATTTCTTAATTAACAAAAATGCAAAAGTAAAATAATTTAATGTTGCCGGATCAACTTTCCTTACGGTAAGGTCAAATTTGTTTTGAAGAAGTTTCTATATTGGTATCAGGTCAAAAATCTAAAATTTGTTTTAATGATGCCAGAAATCTATATTATTTGGAAGGGTCATAAAAAAATTTAAAATTAGAGATAGCTTTGAGGTTTTTTATTTTTATTTATTTATTTTTTTCCCTCTTATGTGAGGTCCAAGGCAATGGCCTAGTTTGCCTTGGCCAAGGCCGACATTGATCATCAAGTTACAAGTTAGACGCGTTCGAAGAGTCTATGCAACAAAGTGGTTCAATTCAACGAGTCGAGCGTGTTGGCTTTAGAATTTATTTATGTTTCACTTTTAAATTTGAATTTAATTTTATGCTTGACAGATTATACTTATGGTTCGATCTAATTCATTTTTTAATGATATGCTTAAGTCCCGACTTTTTTTATGAAAGTTTTCCAACTTTATTACAGATTAAATAATGTTAATGTCGTCCAACCTCTTTGTTCACGCTCGACTTCAATTTTGAGTTAAGTAAAAAAAATAATATCTGTATGATAATAAAAAAATATTTAGCATCATCGATATTTAACATTAGTCTAAATATCGTACTAATGACATTAAATTACATGTCAAAAAAATATGAATCATTTAATATGACCATTAATATGTTGACTTTTAGATTGGCTATTTAATACCACTATACTAGCCCCTGGGCCTCGTTCTTTTTATAAGAATGAATTTTCGAATAGTGTATTGATAAGAAATGTGTGGTTAACAAATAATGAAAATTTTTGTATTTACGTGTAATATTATTTTATTGAAGATAATATGGTTGAAATGATGTCAAAATACTGTTAAAAATATTTTTTTTTAAAGAATGAGAATCAAGTATAGGCTAAATAACATTAATTATTAATGATAATGGATGTCGGCAATATAAATATTTTTAGAACTGTCGACATGATTTAGTTAGTTGGTACCACAATGGAAAATGGGACCATGCTGATAGATGGACAATTTGACTAGAGCAACATTTTTTCTAATCAAGCCAACCCCAATTTATTGGGTCTACATAAGAAATCATACACGTGCTACAATGATCGGGACAAAGGGTCGCCCACCAAGGACAAATATTTTTTTTGTTTTTCATTAAAAAAATTGTTTGATGTTAACACAGACAAGAATGGAAAATAAGCTAGGTCGATTTTAGTATTTCAAAATAACTTTGCTATTTAAAACTTAAGCAATAAAATTATATTGAACCCCTTGTCTGTCAAAATTTTTTCAGATTATAAATTGGTCGGTTCCATAAAATGTGTAGTTAAAAAGTTAACAAAAGTTATCGATCTCATCAAATATGTAATTAAAAAGTGAATGGAAGTTGTGGATCCCTATAATTAAAAATGAAGTATGACAAGTTTATAATCTCAATATTTTGATTATTCCTAAATAATCTACTCAAACATACTTCAACAATACGAATGTTTAAATCATTCTTAATTGATATTTTTTCATATTGCAATTTCTTATTTATTCATTTTTTGTTTGAAAAATATTTAGGTTAAAATCTTCATTAATTATCATTTCCATATCATTTTACCTTTTTAAGTTGATATGTATGAGGTAGGAGAGAAAAAAAATGAAGGCAAGGTAAAATCTCACATCGATTAAGCCCTTGTTTGTACCAATTTAAATTTAAATTTTAATCTAAATCAAAGTTAACAATTAATTTTAACCATATATTTAATGAATCTCATAACTTTTCAACAACGTATTTCATCAACTTGTATCAAAATCTTCTAAAAATTTGATTTTAATCTTTACCAAAGAGGAGCTAAGTATAAAAATAAAAATAGTGATTACCAAAGAGGAACTAAGTATAAAAATTTCAAATTAAACACGAAACTAAATATTTTTCTTCCATTAATTAAAGGTTTCTAACAAAGAGAACCACAATTTGACAAGGAATCAAGAACAGAACTTGTCTAAAAGTAACATGCTTAAACTAAACTTGTGCGCTCATCACTTAGCATGGAGTTAAGATCATCCAATACTTTCTGAAGAAATCCCCTCATTTTATCTGTTTCTCTCAGTTCATCAATGACGCTTTTCTTAAAGCGTTCTAGCCGATTTGCACTTGTCAAATACTGACTCAAAGTACCACAATCATTTGGTGACTTAAAAGCATTTTCATAATCTTCTTCCACTGATGGATCAATTGGCAATAGAAACTTCATACTTTTTTCAGGATTTTCTGGCTCCAAATTCGCCACTTTTTCCATTGTTAGATTCAAGTCTGTTTCAGTTGGCAATGCAACTGCAGAAGTTACAGGGATCTGATCATCAACTGATGGCAATATAGTGCTGTCATTTTGCTTGAGCCCTAGATCTGAATCCTCATTAGACTCAACATGAATACCCTCTTTGGCCAAATATTCAGCAAAATCAAATTTCATGTCATTTTCCTTCAAAACCTCTTTGAAATCTTCATTGGACTCAACAGTATCTTGAAGAATACAGTCAACCAGAGCTATAGCATCGTCTATCATATCTTTATCAATCAACAACTGATCAAAATGTTCACAAATCTCTGTTGCGGAAGCTCTCTCAAAAGGATCTTCAAATGGTGGTTTTCCAGGCTCAGTCCAACGCACCTTTTTCAACCAACAACCAATCCAATCGGCTCCAAACCACAACCAATTGATTCACCTTGATTGCTATTCAATCTTACCCACGTAGGACAAGAATGGATGATGATTTATCGCCACAAAGGCTAAGAGAAGACACCACAAAGGTATACTATGAAAGAACCACCAATTGCATACGTTATACCAGCGTTCTGGACACTTCTGGACACCTTTTTCTCACACAAAAGGGGGGTAGCCGGGATTCACTAGTTTTTTCTCTCAAAATCACACAATCATTATATCAAAGTGGCTAGGGTTATAGTCAAATATATACTCTAGGGTTAGGCTTTAAGTTGGGCCATTAAAGGGGTAAACGGGCCAAGATTCAAGTCATCCATAAGGAATACAATTGGGCCGGGTGTAGCTCATGGACTTGGTTGTTGGACTTATTTCATTCATCGGCCTATGCCTATGAAATAATATTAACCCACGTTAACATCATAGCCCGAGATTTATTGGGTATCAAAAACCCAACAAATCTCTACCTTGATGCCCAATAAATCTGCAAGCTATCAAAACACACAGTTAACACTTGCATAATCAAGGAAGCCAATAAAATTGGATCACAGACCTTACCTCGTGTTTCCAACTTGAAACACATACCATACCTGCTCCAAATACTCACTGGGGCTAAGGTCAAAAACACCCAAATAGAAGCAAATATTTAACAGTAAACAATCAAGAGCAAATATATATGCGATGACGATATACTATAGGATAACACACACAGATCTTTTTAGAAACACGTTCACATAGAACCATAGATTAACACCAAGTCAATCAAACCACGGTTAACCACATATGCAACACATGCATAAATGACCCTAAGAAAAGATCTCACCACACTTATCCTACCTCATTCCGTGTTGCTCACACCTCGAGAACATATATCTCCTCTC